AAATTGAAGGTTACCTATGTCGGGGTTGAACTTATTGAGTTAAAATCTGGAGATCCTCGATGGTGCTTGGATTTTAGAGATATGAATTCCCCTGCCATCATTCTTCTTTCTGATGCATATGGGAGAAAAAATGTTGATCATGGTGGTTTTATTCTTTGTCCATTGTATGGAAGAAAATCTAAAGCTTTCCAAGCTGCTTCAGGAACATCAAATTCTACAATCATTGCAAATTTGGTGAGACTTCTTTGACTGCTAATTTTAGTTACATCCTTTATTAGCTTAATACTTCATAACGATCTTTTTTTAATGTTTTTATGTCTGAACTTCGCTTCTCCTTATTGAACTTCTTCCCTGCTTGATGGTGTAATTTTGAGTAAACTTATGCAGACTAAAACTGCAAAATCTATGGTTGGGGTGTCACTTTCCATAGACAGTTCAGAATCCCTTACTGCAGCAGAGTATATAAAGAGAAGGGGTAAGGCATCCGAGATTTTAGAGTTAACTTCATTCTCATTATTAGTTATAAGCTTTTCCCCCTTCTCACCTGTTGATTGTTGGTGGGTGTTTTTGTAAAATTTGTCTAAAATACAGCCAAAGAACCAGTTGGAGCAGAAGAAACCCCTTGCGGGGGTTGGTCTGTAACAAGGTTAAGATCTGCAGCTCATGGAACTCTAAATGTCTCCGGATTGAGTTTGGGTGTTGGCCCAAAAGGTGGGCTTGGAGAGCATGGTGATGCTGTATCCCGTCAGCTCATTCTTTCTAAGGTTTCGCTTGTTGAGAGGCGACCGGATAACTATGAAGTAAGCTTTTAAATGACACATTGTAGGATTTAGATAGTAGATGAAATGTATCTTTCTATTTCAAAAATGATTACTCTCTGTTATAGGTATTTGCCTTATGTGTTAACCATTCAAGGGTGAGAAATATCTAATGTTTTATGAATTGCAAGTCAAACAAATATCAAAGTTAAGTTTCTTAAGAAGAAAGAAAGAACTTGCACATGATCCTTATTTTGTAAGTTTGTTATGTGTTTGATGGACTTGTATCACATGCTGAGAATTGTCCTTAGAGGTGTGCAGGCTGTTATTGTTCGTCCTTTATCTGCAGTAAGTTCACTTGTTCGGTTCGCTGAGGAGCCTCAGATGTTTGCAATTGAATTCAACGATGGATGCCCTATCCATGTGAGTATGTTTACTTCCACAGTGAATTTACTTGAATGTAAATAATCTAATGACATGGATTCTAGGTCTATGCAAGCACGTCTCGTGATAGTCTCCTTGCAGCCGTTCGAGATGTATTGCAAACGGAAGTAGGTATACGTGTCCTCTCTCGAATATGAATGGAGTTTTATTGCTACAAAAGTGTTTCGAAACACAACATTTTAAATGATTTTCATTTTCAAGACTCATGTTTTATTAGTGATAGATAGAGTGAACTTCCAATTTGATGTGGTGGGTCTTTGGGCTTGACATGTGCAGGGGCAGTGTGCTGTACCAGTGTTACCCAGGTTGACAATGCCTGGTCATCGCATTGATCCTCCCTGTGGGAGAGTTCATTTGCAATTTGGGTTACAACAACTTGCTGCTGATATGGAAAATGCATCTATGCATTTGAAACACTTAGCTGCTGCTGCAAAAGATGCTGTTGCTGAAGGTGGCTCTATTCCTGGTTCAAGAGCCAAGTTATGGCGAAGGATAAGGGAGTTCAATGCTTGTATCCTGTATAGTGGAGTTCCTCCTGCTATTGAAGTACCTGAAGTTACTTTGATGGCCTTGATTACTATGCTTCCATCAACTCCTAGTCTTCCTCCAGAGGCCCCTCCTTTGCCACCGCCTTCACCTAAAGCTGCTGCAACAGTAATGGGCTTTGTTGCATGTTTGCATCGACTGTTAGCCTCAAGAAATGCAGCTTCCCATGTGTTGTCTTTCCCTGCAGCTGTTGGAAGAGTCATGGGATTACTTAGAAATGGTTCTGAGGGTGTGGCTGCAGAAGCTGCTGGCCTTGTTGCATCACTTATTGGTGGGGGTCCTGCGGACCCAAACATGGTTATGGATTCAAAAGGAGAACAACATGCAACAATTATGCATACAAAGTCTGTGTTGTTTGGTCAGCAAGGTTATGTTACAGTCCTGGTCAATAGATTGAAACCCATGTCAGTATCTCCTCTATTGTCAATGGCTGTTGTTGAAGTTCTTGAAGCTATGATTTGTGATCCACATGGTGAAACTACTCAATACACTGTCTTTGTTGAATTGTTGCGCCAAGTTGCTGGTTTACGCCGTCGCTTGTTTGCATTGTTTGGACATCCTGCTGAAAGTGTGAGGGAAACAGTTGCAGTAATAATGCGTACAATTGCAGAAGAAGATGCAATTGCCGCAGAATCCATGCGAGATGCTGCATTGCGCGATGGTGCTCTGTTGAGACATTTATTGCATGCTTTTTTTCTTCCTCCTGGTGAGCGTCGTGAGGTTAGTCAACAACTTGTTGCACTTTGGGCAGACTCTTATCAACCAGCTCTGGTTCTACTATCTAGAGTTCTACCTCCTGGACTTGTTGCTTATTTACATACACGTCCTGATGGAGTTTTAGCTGAAGATTCAAATCAAGAAGGATCCTTGACCGGTAGAAGACATAGGCGTTTGCTTCAGCAGAGGAAAGGTCGTGTTGGAAGAGGAATCACATCTCAGGAAAATCCCTTTTCTGTTAATAATGTTGAGGTAGGTGATCCAGCAAGGCAAGCAGGTGCAGGCGCAGGTGCAGGTACTTACAGAGCTTCAGAGAACTATCATAAACCTGCTCAAGATCCAAATTCCAGTCAAGTTGCAGGCATTCCATCTGCCGCTGCTACCGTTGAAAATATGACTGGTGATATGTCCTCTGCAGGAGTTTTACAAAATGGTCACTTACCTGTGGTAACTTCAGCTGATTCTCCATCAGCAAACATGCATGGGGTATTTGAACCAAATGCTTCAATTTCAACAGATTCGGATTTGACCACAATTGGTTTCCAGAATGCAGGTCTTCCAGCACCTGCACAGGTTGTTGTGGAGAACACTCCAGTGGGTTCTGGTAGACTACTTTTGAATTGGCCTGAGTTTTGGCGGGCTTTTAGCCTAGATCACAATCGTGCAGATCTGATATGGAATGAGCGCACAAGACAGGAGTTAAGGGAAGCATTGCAGGCTGAGGTTCATAAATTAGATGTTGAAAAGGAGCGTACTGATGATATTGCTCCTGGAGGTGCTTCTGTAGAAGTAACTGGCCAAGAGAGCGTGCCACGGATATCGTGGAACTATTCTGAGTTCTCTGTTAGTTATCCCAGCTTATCCAAGGAAGTTTGTGTGGGTCAATATTATCTGCGTTTGCTGCTTGAGAGTGGGAGCAGTGGCAGGGCACAGGATTTTCCCTTACGTGATCCAGTTGCCTTCTTCAGAGCACTCTATCATCGGTTCTTATGTGATGCTGATATAGGGCTGACAGTAGATGGTGCTGTTCCTGATGAATTGGGATCATCTGATGATTGGTGTGACATGGGGAGACTAGATGGTTTTGGGGGAGGGGGTGGATCCTCAGTTAGGGAACTTTGTGCAAGGGCCATGGCAATTGTATATGAGCAGCATTACAATACAATAGGCCCTTTTGAAGGCACTGCACATATTACAGTTCTCTTGGATAGGACAGATGATAGGGCTTTGAGGCACCGTCTTCTGCTCCTTTTAAAGGTACAATAAAATTTGATTGGCTGCTGCCACCTCCTGCTACCATTATGCTGAACAAATTTCGTTAGTCTTTGATGGCAGTCTGTTCTATTATTGAGTTTCATATGATTGCATCTTTTCTTTGTCTTGATGCCCATACACTTGTAACTTCATAGTGTTATCATTGGGTTTGATCTGATTGGTGTATTACTTTACTTGGTGCATGAACATATTTGCGTAGTATAAAGATGAACTACATAACTATCTATATTTGGTAGGCCTGTATATGCTGATGAGATCTGTTAGCAGATGCATGTTTCCATTGGATGGTCCAGGCTCGAGCCAATTTTTATACAGCTGCGTCACTTATTCTGGCTTTCTCTTCTCTAAGCGTGCATTACAACCTACGGTTTAGAACCAACCTATCGATGTAATGGCAAAAATTTGGGTTAGCAAGGAAACGAATCGCTCATTCTGTTGGTCACTGTGTGAGTTATATGGAAAGAAAGAAACAGTCTTATTTTTTGGGACAAAGTCTCATCTTTTGTTAACATAAGAGACTATTGATTCTGGACCTTAAATTTTTTTGTCTAGGGGCATTCCAAATTCTTTCTTGGGAGGATCTTGGAACCTTCATAGAGATTTTTTCTGTTTCTTAGTTTTTTGCTCTTTTATAAGGATGGCATCCCCTTGGTGCCTTTGTGCTATGCTTTCACTTCTCCCAAAAGAGAAGGGCCCAAATTTGAGTCAAGAATTCTGTTTTTTGTTTCTTAGTTATTTGCTCTTTTACTTGGGGAGGCACCTGGCACACTGTTGGTGCCTTTTTAATATGCTCTCTTTTTCTCTCAAAAAAAGAAGCACAGAAATTTGAGTCAAGAATTTAAACTAGTCTTTAATTCATCAAATCCTAATTATTATTCTTGTTGAATGTTCAGGTCTTAATGAATGTTTTGTCAAATGTGGAGGCTTGTGTTCTGGTTGGAGGCTGTGTCTTAGCAGTTGATCTTCTTACAGTGGCCCATGAAGCTTCAGAAAGGACTGCTATCCCTTTACAGTCGAACTTGATAGCTGCCACTGCCTTCATGGAACCACTTAAGGAATGGATGTATCTTGATAAGGATGGCAGTCAAGTTGGACCTTTGGAGAAAGATGCGATCAGAAGGTTATGGTCAAAAAAAGAAATTGACTGGGTAACAAGATGCTGGGCTTCTGGGATGCTGGACTGGAAGCGATTACGTGATATACGGGAACTTAGGTGGGCATTAGCTGTCCGGGTTCCTGTCCTCACACCAACACAGGTATTGTCATCTGAGTTGTATGAAGAGCAACTCTTGTGATGTTATTTGTTGTTTTGTTTATTGTCGTACATGATGCATAATCTTGCTGTTGATCTATTATGCTACATATTTATCTTACGAGTGGTGAATAAGCTAGGGTTAAGGGTGGATTAGGCCCCTCACCCTATCCTACCTAGTTTTTGTTAGATAATTCTTTTTGGGACAGGGGAAGACACTATCCACCAATATTTATCTTACAAGTGCTGAATAGATCCTACCCCTAAAACAACTCAAAAACTTTTTCAATTTTTTTTTACCTATATCCATTGACAAGATATTACAATGGTCATCCCCCTATTGTCTCCACCTCTGACCTTTGTTGCCACCACCGTTGTTGTCTCTGCCACCATCACTATTGTTGCCTCCGTTGCCATCACCATCGTTGTCGTTGCTGCCAACACCATCACCTCTCCTCCTCCACTGTTGTTGCACCATTGTCACTGTTGCTACTTTCGGGGTCCTTATCACCATTGCCACATGCACCTTCTCCATTGGTGCTGTGCCACTACTACATTGTTGTTGTTGTTATCATCGCTACCCCTACCACCACCATTGATACTGTCACCATCACTACCATCATGTTGCCCTTGTTATTACTTTTATGTTCGTTGTTGCAGCTGTTATTGCTACTTCTATTGTTGTTACCATAGTTGTCACTATTATCACTACTGTTATTATTGTTGCCTTCAGTGTTATTAGCATTATAGTTGTGACTACTGCTTTTGCTGCACATCTTGTTAATGCCATTTGTCATCTATGCCATGCTATTATAGTGACAATCGTTGCTGCTCTTACCGCGACAACCACTACTAATTTCTAGTATGGATTGGAAAAGGAGTAGTAGAACATATTGTGCTATTTTATTTGTTTTCTTACCTAATCATCCAAAAGATATTGTAAAGTAAGAATTCTACCTATGTTTGACCCTATTTTACCAACTATCTTAGCCTTTCCTACCCACTATCCAACCCAGGTGCCTAAAGACTAAAGTTGCCTGAACTTTTTGCTGTAATTGACAAAGTTTATTCTATACACCGATAATTCTTAGCACATCATTATCCAACCCAGGTGCCTAAAGACTAAAGTAGTCTGCTGTAATCGACAAAGTTTATTCTATCCATCGGTAATTCGTAGCACATATCTCAATGCTTGATGAATCAATGTTTTTGTTTGAAATTGTTTTCGAGAAGCTTTTATGTGAAAGTATAAGTTAACTTCTTGAAACCCTTTTGTATTCTCTATGTTATATCAGAAAATGTTTCTTTTAATGCTGCTAGCACCCAGTGTTGCAACTGAATAGGGCTTCGCTTAGGTGTACTGCTTGTGTTAACATTCTCCTTTAAAATAGTCCATCCAAAAGGAGCCAGAGGATTGCTGTTCATGTTTCAGTGGCTTTCCTTCATGTCTTCTTGAATGCATTACCTTTTCCACAAACATTTGAGATTATATGAGGCAGATATGCTTATATTATTTAGGTGCTTAATGGTTGATTTATTAGCTTTCATTTTTCTCTCAGACTCACACTGCATTTTCCAAACTCCCTAATACTTTTTCTTATGATATCTGTCTAATTTTTTTTCTAATAGATAACTTCTTTATTCAGGTAGGGGATGCAGCATTATCCATATTACACAGCATGGTGTCTGCACACTCAGATTTGGATGATGCTGGAGAGATAGTTACTCCAACTCCAAGGGTAAAACGGATCTTGTCAAGTTCGCGTTGCCTTCCACATATTGCACAGGTGACTTTTCACTCTGTTACGCTCTGTTCACTTTGTACTCAGTGGCATATCCTAATGAATAGAGGCTTTTGGAGTGTGAGAGAGTATATGTATGTATCTGTTTATATATATATATATACACACACAAAGACTTGCCAGTGTTTGATGTGTGGTCATTTAAGTCTTGGTTTGCAAGGCTTTCCTCTTTCAGAATGTTTGAATCTTGATACTAATCATTAATGTTATTTGTCCTCCTGCCAACCTTTCCAACCAAAAAAGGCTATGCTTTCTGGGGAACCAACTATTGTGGAGGCTGCTGCTGCATTGCTGAAGGCTGTTGTCACCAGAAATCCAAAGGCAATGATACGCCTATACAGTACTGGGGCATTTTATTTTGCCCTTGCATATCCTGGATCTAATCTCTTCTCAATAGCGCAACTTTTCTCAGTGACTCATGTCCATCAAGCCTTTCATGGTGGGGAAGAAGCCGCAGTTTCCTCCTCGTTACCATTGGCAAAACGTAGTGTATTGGGTGGGCTTCTTCCAGAGTCTTTGCTGTATGTCCTGGAGCGAAGTGGTCCTGCAGCCTTTGCAGCAGCAATGGTTTCTGATTCTGATACTCCAGAGATTATATGGACGCATAAAATGCGGGCAGAAAATCTTATTTGCCAGGTATTTACCTTTAAGATTACTTTGTTGTTTATGTACTTTTTATTTAAACTCAGTTATGTATTTGTTATGGTCTGGCAGAAAATGTGTGAGCTGGCACTCAGTCTCTTTTCTGTTTGTTTCTGCCAGGTTTTGCAGCATCTTGGTGATTTTCCCCAGAAACTGTCACAGCATTGCCATTCTTTATATGAGTATGCTCCTATGCCACCTGTAACTTATCCAGAGCTTAGAGATGAAATGTGGTGTCACCGTTATTATCTCCGAAACTTGTGTGACGAGATTCGATTTCCAAATTGGCCGATTGTTGAACATGTGGAATTTCTGCAGTCGTTATTGGTTATGTGGCGAGAAGAGTTGACACGTAGACCCATGGACCTTTCTGAAGAAGAAGCTTGTAAAATATTGGAAATATCCTTAGACGATATAGCAAGTGATGAAGTGAGAAAGAAGAATTCTTTTGAGATGAGTGAGGAGGTATCTAGCATATCCAAACAGATTGAGAACATTGATGAAGAAAAGCTTAAGAGACAGTATAGGAAACTTGCAATGAAATACCATCCTGACAAAAATCCTGAAGGGAGGGAGAAGTTTCTCTCTGTACAGAAAGCTTATGAACGACTCCAGGTAGTTTTCAACACTCACAAATAAAATGTGAATATCTTACGTTAGTCATGTTCCACAACTATCATTCCTGTGTAACGATTGGCTGGAATGCTTATTCATTACCATAAACATGATTACAGATGGGTATGGTTTCTTTAGAATTTTTATGTTAAAAATGTGTGACCCCAAGTTTTTAGTTAGATGAGTTCTTCCTTTTTTTTACTAGTGTATTTTTAGTGAGATAAGTCTTTCCTTTCTACTCATTGTATGTTAGAATGAACATTTGTCAAAAAAACAAAATG